CTGCAGTTGGGGGGATGGGACTCAATGACCCCAATGGCTTCTCTCAGCCTCTGTAACTTTAAATATTTTAAACCTACTTTATGCAGTCCTAATCAGGAACAGTGTAATTTACAAAGACATTGCGACCTATCAATCTGAGGATCCTCATCTAGTGGACAACTAATGCCTCCCCCATCAATTCATAGTCACTACACAGCTGAATTCTTCAGCCTTTCAGGAAGGGTTTTGCAGCTTGTCATCTGCAGACCCTGAATACAGGGATTTCTAAAATATATTGAAGATGCCTATGAAAGGTGACCAAGAAAAGCATGTTCAGGTATGTTATCTAGCAACCCTCACCTGCAAAACATCTAAAAGGATCCACACTTCCACTGGGAAATTTTTCAGGTCCCTAAATTGAAAAGCAGCAAAGACATAAAACTTTAAACAAAGGATAACTCTTAAAATGAGAATAAAACCATATTCTCTTGCATTTCAGCCCTTTCCTCCTTAAGTCCCAGAACACCCTTCACAGGAGTATATTCAGTATTTACACCTGAGACTGCAGAGAAATCAGCTTCTAGGGCTACATGCATCTGGATTTAACCAGATGTGTCCTGTTCTTTCTTTTTCTAGAATTTGGCCCACGAATGGGCAAACTTGAGTGCTTGAGATTTCTAAATGTCTAGACAACCTGGGCATGCTCATGCAAACAAACTTTACTATATAACCTGATCTAGTTGAAGATGTCCCGGCCCACGGCAGGGGGGTTGGACTAGATGACCTTTAAAGGTCCCTTCCAACCCAAACTATTCTATGATTCTATGATTCTGATATATATGCTGGCCCAGGGACACAGGCACACTCGGTCTGACACTGGCTGAATGCACTGGCTGTACTGGATACACATAGATCAAATGATGCAGTGTGGCACCTGCTCAGTGTGGCAGATACCTCTCCGATGCATTGAATTTACTGTGCATGGGCAGGTTACCTCTGTAGCTTCTGGGCATCTTAGACCAAAGCACCTATGCCACACTATAAGTGTGTTGAGCAGGAAAGTCAGGACAGAAACATGAGAGTTCTGGTTTGCAACACTGAATGTGCCTAATAAATATTGTAGGGAAGGAAATGTATTCAGTTGGAAGTATAGTTTAATACTGTTTTTGCCTTAAAGAGTCCTCAGTATCACTGTTTATTCTAGATACTTTCCATATTAGTTGATAATGTTGCAGCTAAATGCAGTAACTTAACATCAGATATCCCTCAGCAGGGGTATGAAGAATTTTTAATGCACACATACCATGGTGTGTTATGGCATAACAAACATACCAAAGGAGCTCCAACAACAAATGACCATCCAGCGGCCATAAAGTAACGCAGATGTTACAATGCAAAAAAACACCTTTTCCTCCTGTTAGGAGGGAAAAGCCCATGGTGAGATTTTTCATTTAATTCTACATGCTTACCACTAGTTCTTACTAAAGATGCTCACTTGATCAAGAGACTATATATCATATCCTGGATCTTAGGATACTCTAGTCCTCACATACATGTTGATTAGGGCCACACAGCAGCGAGCAGTTGCAACACGTATTCGCTGGGAACTGCGTATAAGCCAAACCAAGTGTTTGGCTCCCTCTGCACTGTCATGCTTCTGAAGCTGCTGACTTAGTATTTAGTTTATAGTAATTTGGTTTATATTTGTTCTGTTCGCAGTTGCTATTTAAGCTAATTATGCCCTTCCCCCAGCAGACTGTAGCATAAGGGAAACAAAGAAAGGGTTTTCTAACCTTACAAACTCTACAGGTGCTCTTCTTTGTGTGAAATAAGCTATCCCATGAACACTGATGCCTAAAACACCTATAAACACTGGATTCATCTCAAATGTACTGCATTTATGGAGGCTAGTCTCACTCCAGCCTCCAGTCCACTAAAAAATGCAGAAGACTGCGATTGCCAACACCCTCTGCCATCTCTAATTACCGCCCTGAACAGCAAAGGTCAGCACATTACACCTGATCAGCTCAGGGGGTTAGGACCTTGCCTGTAGGCTGCAACGAAGGAAGGTTTCGACCCAATCTGAAAGGGAGGGGGTAACATCAGGTGACCTCAGAGCACTCTGAAGAGAAAGCAATCCCATCAAATGAGAACACAAAAAGGTGTCAGGGGCCTGGGAAAACAGATCTGTGCTCCAGCAAGGTGTTTGGCCTGCCCTTAGGAGCAGGACTTGATCTCAAAACCCTGCTAACCCCTGCTGCAAGCGGTGTATGGGAGACCCGACCTCTCTGGAGTAAGAGCAATGCACACCTTGGAGTGCAACTGCTACTCCCCACCCAGCCTGCACAGGGATTGCTTTAGGGGAGAGCAGTGCACCCCTCTTTGAACGCACACAGCACCCAGTCCTGCTCAGCGCCCACACACTGCCCTACGCAGATGAGCCAATGTGAGTGACGACAGCACTCCCACCGCTTTGTGAGCTGCCTCCTGCAAAGGCCCTTGGCAAAGCAGCTGACCAACAGTATCCAGAGAGATATTAATACACGGCAGGTCCACCAGCAGATGAGCCGGGGAGCTGCAAGCCAGCCTGCATGCTCGTGGCACACTGCCCTCTGCTTGCAAGAGAAACCTCGAAGAGGAGAGGGAAGTCTACATGGTGTAGACGTGACTCCTCTTGTGTACATCGTTATATGTCTTTCTTGTGTTGAAGTGTGCGTGCCACCAAATGGTAAGTGGAGAGAAACAAGTATGTCAAAGACACTGATGGTGGTGACTCAAACAATGTGCTGCTGCGGTGGGAAGGCAGCGATGTGCCCGGATAGGATCAGCCTCATGGGCTCTGTGTTTGCAGACTGCTCTCCAGACGCCACACACTTCTAAATCAACTAAAAAAGGCATAAAAGTGGATCAAAGTATTTCACTGCCCTCTTACAGCCACCTTTCTGCAGGTCTCCCTTGACTCATCCGACTTAGCAACATAGTGGAGAGTTTTTGACTTTTGGGCACGGGTGCTGCGTAAACCGCTGCCATGCAAAGACCACAGGAACTCCCCGGGTTTTCCCCAATTTCTGTTGTGAAGAACAGCACTGCTTACTTTCCCCTTGCAGCCAGGGCCGCCTACTTGTGATCCGCAGAGTTAAGAGATTGAGATCAAACTATCAGTCCTTTCTCAAATGACTGTCCTGGGCAATAACCTGCAACCCAGCTCTGCTTGGCAAAGCCTATGTCTGTACCCTGGAAACAGAGATATCTGGAAGAGACTGTCTATTGATACTACAGGTAAAACACAGGTTGTCTTTCTTCCCACTTCTTGTTTACTCAATCCACAGGAAAAAAAGAGGCAACAATGAGAAGTTTTGGACACTAGGAACAGACAAGACCACTACTGCTGCCTGTCCCCTGGAGCTGCTGCGGAGAAACCATCTCACCAAGAACCATATTCCCAGAAGTAAGTTTCAAGATAAAAGCAGGCATCGTACAAATACTATCACCCTGGAAAGATGGAGCATTAATGCTCTCCCACCCTGCAGCTTCTGCCAGAGCTACAAACTGACTGGCACCACTTTCCCCCCAATGCTCTTCTTGCCACTGGCACTGCAGCAAGCCTGTGCAGAGGGGACCAGCACAGTGGTGTGAAAAGCTGATCACTGCCTTTTGTAGGACAGTACCTATTCCGCCACACAGCTCGCCATGGAGAAGATCACCACATGTGATGGCCTCGCAGCCCTGGCAGGCTGGAGCCCTGGGAGGAAGCACTTTTGGCCGACCTCCCTGCATGGAGGGGCTGAAAGGACGTCAGGGGCTGCCGGTCTGCAAGCAGCAGGAGCCCAGGCTGGGACAAGCGGAGGCGGCAGCCTAGGCAAGATTCCAGCAGGGGGGAAACACAAGCAAGAAAAGGAAAGAGAGAAGACTAAATGGGGAAGGACATAGATGTGTGTGTGGAAGAGGAGATGGGTGTTGGGGATTCACGGCACACGATTCCCTGCTCAGTGCCTCCACGCTGCGTTAGCCTGGCTGCTCCCAGAGAAACCAGAGAGGGGCTGCCTGTGGCTGGCGCTGTGGCAGGCACAGGGAAAGGACATGCCTCCAGATAAGGAGATAAAAATGAATCCCAATTACTGGATACTGTCTGCATCCCGCAAGGAGCTAAACAGAGAGGGTGGAGCAAGGGCAAAGGGAGCAGCCTCCAAGCTCCATCTGTGCCTTTGCTAAGTGAACATCTCCACAATTCATGTGAGTATTTTGCCACTTCTTACTGAGTCATATTAATTCTCACTTTAAAAAGCCACCAGAGTTAGCGTAACACTCACATACACTGTGAAAATCCTGTATCTGCTATTGTAGGAGACCTATTATTAGCAAGGCATTATTATTATCTGTCATTCGGATTGTAAGCTGTCTTACTGTGAGCTGGTTCATGTGGATCGCTCTGCACCAAGCTCCTAACCCTGCCACTGCTACTCTTCTGTAAATTTCCATGCGGACACACTAATTTCGGGATCAGGATCCAAGGAGGATTTAATGAAACTCAGCAGCACTCCAGGATGTGTACAGTGCCTCCCACCATGGAGCCCAATCTCCATCAGGACTTGTGCCCACTACAGACAGTGAATAATTGCATTGGCAGGTCTGAGCAGGGAGTGGAGGTTGAGCGGTGTGGAAGGAGTTTCAGTGCCTGCACTGCAAGGTGTATGTACCTGATCCTCCTCTTGGCTCTTCTGCATACAACTAACTTTCCCATCTTTCCAGGTTTTTCAACCAAAAGGATCTTATGACCGCGAGGAAGGTAGGGCTGGAGGTGGTGGGGAAGGGAGGGCATTGCCACTGCAATTGCCAACCCCAAGCTTTGGAAGATGACTTGGTTTGGAGCTGCTGGAGCCAGACCAGAGCCAGTGACCCTGCCTGGGGGAGAAGTGGGGGCAGAAAGGGGGAGTGGTCCTTTCCTCACCCTCATGCGTGAGCAAAGGGGAGCGGGTTTAGCAAGACAGACAGCAGTGGCTACAAAGGGGAATGTTTCTTACAGTCACTGTGCACAGCATAGGGAGGCAGCAGGCTGATGGGGGAGAGATCGTCTTCAGGCCCCTCTACCACTGAAGAGGGCCCCTTGGGAGGCGTCTTACCGGTGGGCAGGGGCGAGGTGGAGACCGTGTTGAGCAGCACCACGCAGACAGCCACAACATCCCATAACTTCATCTTAGATCTCCTTCCAACACGGGCCCCTGGCAGAGAGAAGAGGCAGGGTTAGCCCCCCAGCTGCTGCGCTCCCCCAGTCCTGCCCCCTCCCTGCCAGCCCTGAGACAAAGCTGGGCAGTCTCGCACCCCAGATCAGCCTGGCCAGGCCCTGGGACAAAGCAGGGGGAAAAAACCTGTGCCCAGCTCAGCCTCCCACCCTTATCACCTCCCAAAGCGAGGGAGATGGGCTCTCCCCAGTGAGAGGTGTGGGAGAGGGAGGCGCAGGATGGCCTCCAGCCCCTCTATGCCCAAGCGAGCTGCTTTGGGGGATGCGGACAGGCAGGTCCCAGGAGCCTGTGCCCAGGGATGTGGGGGTGTGACGGTGTCCCTGTGCTGGCAGGCAGGTCACCTTGTGCTTGTCCTCCTCCAGCACCTGGGCAGCACCAGGGCACTTGTCCCCGGCCTGGGCCAGGGTGGACCAGGCTGATCTGGGGTGCAGGGCTGCGCAGGTTTGTTGTGCTACAGGCAAACCTTCCTTTCCCTTTCCCTCTCTTCTCCTTTTCCCTTTCCCTTTTTCTCTTTCCTTTTCCCTTTCCTCATTTTTTTTCCCCTTTCCCCTTTCCCATCCCCTTTCCAGTCCTCTTTCTCTTTTCCTTTCATTTTCCTCTCCTTTTCTCTTTCCTCTTTCCCTTCCTCTTCACTTGTGACCCTTCCTTTCCCTATCGTCTTCCTTTTCCCCTTCCTTTCCCCTTTCCCTTTCTTCTTTCCTTTCCCCCTTCTCTTCCCGTTTCCCTTTCCCCCAGTTTCAGTATTTCCCTTTTCCTCCCCTTTTCTCTTTCCCCTTTCCTTTTCCCTTTCCTCTGTTTCCATCTCCCTTTCCTTTAATTTTCCTCTCCTTTTCCCCTCCCTTTCCTTCTCATTTCCCTCTTTCTTGTTTCTCTGTCCTTCTCTTCGTTTCCCTCTCCTCGTTTCCTTCTCCTCCTCTACTTTTCCTTTTCTTTCTTTTCCTGTTCCTCTTTCTTTTCTCTTCTCCCTTCCCTTTCCTTCTCTTCTCCCTTTACCTTCTTCTTCTCTCCTCCTCGCTCCCCGGTCGCCCCGCCCGCAGTCAGCCACGGCACGCACCCGATGCCCGCCGCCCGGGGATGACAGCTGCCCCCCGCCCGGT